GGGACATGACATTAACATTTCCCACCTGCCCGTAGTGCATTTAATGAGCACTAACATGCCAGGAATACGCCACGCAGGATTGTTTCCATCACGACCATCTGCTTCAGGAATTAATTAACATGGTTTGTTCAGGTTTTAAACACAGACGATCATGAAAACACAAACTTGCAATTTCCAAATATTTTTAATAACGGGAACTCTGCCCTATTGAATTCCAATAAACGCTTTTTAAGTCTTCATTAAATCCATTATTAACATTGGATATTTTATTAAAGTGAACCCGTTATTACGTCCGGTTTCACCGAGTCTTGTTTTAAAAACCTTGAAACGATGGTGCAAGAACTGCGATAAAAATTCTCGGTGAGTATTAGGAAGGAAATTTGAGAAAGAATTGCAATAGTTAACGTAAGGAATCAAGACAAGTTACACATTACTAGAAACTGCATTCTTTGATTCCTTTCCCCATATTATGTGCCCCGTGTGTACGAAAATACCATTTATAAGGATGAGAAATTCGCAGTGTGCCAGCAATGGTACATGGAGCAGGAGGAAGTTTAGTGTATGTAGAATAATTAGACAACAATACATTTTTGATACTTTTCAACTTGCTTTCTTTTCCAAAAAATAAACTTTCTTTCACTTTCAATAAGACTTTGGATTTCTTTCATCTTCGAATCAATTTCCTAAATGACGTGTCTAAAAATCTAGTACGTCTTATCTCCTTTCTACTAACTTAAAAGGATGTTCTGACTCTGTGAACAAGATATTCAGAACGAAAATTGTTGTTCAATACAAGAACGGTGCGAATTATTACACTCCCTTTTCAATGAACTAATATCTGGAATAGAAAAAAGAATATTAAGAAAGCAAATGCCTTGAAAATTAGATGGCTCAGAGACTTACCAATTCTTTTGAAACATGAGTCTTAAATGCAATTCACACCCGCAAAACTGTTTCAACTCACATTATATACTACATTGCAAACTTTGAACAAGAAAATACGTAATTGAAGGGCTGACCTTCCGAGCCACTAACGACTACACCTCCGAAAAAGCACAAACGTAATGTTCGTGGTGAAGAAGCGTAAATCATC